AGGACTATAGAACGGTGAGGGGAGGGGAATGGAAGGGTGAATGTGGCTTAGGGAGTCCCGGCGCGGAGAGCTGCACTGTAGACTTACCCCAAGAGGCCTGAGGATAGTGACTTTCTGAACTTTTAAAGTCAGCTTTGGATAACTGTGATACAAAAATATTAGACAATTTCGGAAGTGAACGTGAGTTTAAATAACATCCCACTGTAGTGTTATAATTTTCCTACTTTATTATTACTATTGTTGATCTTACTTTGCCTCATTTTAAGGTCAACTTTGTCAGAGGTATTAGGAATACAATAGAATATAGTCGCTGTAGACTTACCCCAAGAGGCCTGAGGATAGTGACTTTCTGAACTTTTAAAGTCAGCTTTGGATAACTGTGATACAAAAATATTAGACAATTTCGGAAGTGAACGTGAGTTTAAATAACATCCCACTGTAGTGTTATAATTTTCCTACTTTATTATTACTATTGTTGATCTTACTTTGCCTCATTTTAAGGTCAACTTTGTCAGAGGTATTAGGAATACAATAGAATATAGTTTCTATGGAGTTCAGGACTGTCTGTGGTTTTAGGTGGTTGAGGAACATCTCAGAGCATGTCTCTAGGGGATGAAGGGTGTGTTCGTGAGTTTTCTGTCTGTGTAATAGATACCTGGGACAACATCTTACAAAGAGACAGGATTTCTTATGACTTGTAGTCAGGTTTTAATCCACAATGTTGTATTAGTTAATTTTCTGTTGTGATAAAATACCATGACCAAAAGCAACTTAGAGAAGAAAAGGGTTTATTTGGCTTACAGTTCCAGAGGAAGAGTCTGTAATGGTGGGGAGGGCATGACAGCAGGAGCAGGAAGCAGAGAGATCACATTCCATCCCCACACAGGAAGTAGAAAGAACAGGAAGTGGGGTGAGGCTGTAAACTCACCACCCCCCAGTGACATGCTTTCTCCAGCAATGCTGCACCTCCTAAAGGTTCCGTCACCTCACCAGCCTGATACTTGTCTCTAGCCTGATACTTAGGTGCTCTATAAAAAGTTGAGAAATCCTTCACTACTTGGTGAGCAACCAGCTAAGGAAATACAATTTGTGTACAGTCAGCACCACCTTCCCTAGAGTTTTTCTCACCACTGCAAAGTGAATGTGCAGTTGCCTTTAAAACACTGGTTTTTCCACAATTTAGGGGAAGCCACTTTTTCAGCCAGGAGCATCTCTGTTGCCTCCTCAGCAATAGTTGTCGCTACCCTATAGAACTTGAATGGAATGTTCCCCAAGCTCATTTCTGGACCCCATTTCCTGGAGTCATCTTCCTTAGCCCTTACCTTCCTTCTCATAGTCCTTATGGTTATCACAATGTTTGGGCAAAGTCTGAACTTGACTCTCTGGGGAAGAGTCTTAGAATCTAACAGAAAGCCCTGACTTTCACGCAAGAGACTGAGCATGTTACCCGTATTGAGTAAGGTGGCTTACCCACATTAAAAATCAACCTGCAAGGGCTGTGGTTGTGTAGCTCAGCGATAGACTACTTGCCTGACAAAGCCTCTGGGTTCTAGCCCCGGTACTATGCCAAAGATAAGAAATCAAAATAAATAACCTGCAATGGCCAGATGTGTTTCATTTCTATAAACTATCAACTGAAATAAAATCTAAGAATAGTTTATTCCCATAAAGAAATTACATCACAAACTTCAGTGAAGTATAGAATTGAACATTTTTTTCCTCTTCCTTTAGAGTATGAAGCTGAGCTGCCTCCCTTTCCGGAAGAATATAAAGTGAAGCAAGAACCTTCGGTTCCAGTGGTAAGTGTGCCCAGACCTCAGTGAGAACAGCACCTATGCCCTGAGGGTTGATGTTGGGCTAGGGAGGAGAACAGGCAGGCACAGGAGTTAGAACTTGAAGCAGGGTGTCAATCCTGGGTCTACTGTGAATGGTACACTGTAACCACTCTGAGCCTTAGTTAGTGCATCTGATAAACAGGACAGGGAATCCTAGACCAGCTCACAGGGCCTCTGTGAGGCTCCAGTGAGATCTTGAATGAGAAAAAACCTTTATAATGGACCCCACAGCAGATCTGTGTTGGGGATAGTTGTGGACAGAGGAGCTTTCTCTGCGTGCCAGATGAACCCTGTACTGAGAGAGGGCCATGGACAGAGTAGCCAGGAAATATACCATGGAATCATGCACTTAATAGAGATAAAAAAGAAACCTTTAAAGTAAGGCTCAGAAAGAAATGTCTTGAGCAGGGTCACAGGGACAGAAACGATTCTCTAGATTTTGAGTAACTTTTGTTACTGAAGCTGCTTCTGACAAATTCTTGTGCTTAAAAACTCTTTCTTGTCCGGTGATTGTCCCTTTTTCCTAGTATCCTGTTCTCGCTTTAAGGATAAAATTCTTTCACAGATTTCTCTTATAAATGCTAATTATAGTTCTCTTCTCTGAATCATTTGTCCTTATTCAGAGGTCAGTTGTATTTATAGTCTTGATTATTTTATTTTATGCTTTGGATTTTGAGACAGTCTCACTATGTAGACCAGGCTGCCCTGGAACTCTGTGTCTATCTCAGGCTGGCCTTAAACTTGATTCTTCTGCTTCATCCTTCAGTGCTAGAGTTACAGTTGTCAAGTGTACACCACTATGCCTGGCTTTCTTTATACTTTTTTTTGTTTTGTTTTGAGACAAGGTCTCCTGTAGCTCAGTCTGGCCTGAAACTCTGCACACAGACTAGGATCACCTCAAACTTGTGATCGTCCTCCCTCTACCTCCCAAGTGCTGGGGTTATAGGTTTTCACTAACGTGCCCAACCATGTTTACAATTCTTTAAAAAGATTTTTTTAAATGTGTATGAGTATCTTGCCTGCATGTATATAAGTGCACCCATGTTGTGCAATGCCCGTGGAGGTCAGAAGAGAGTTACAGAACTGGAGTTACAGACTGTTGTTAGCTGCTATATGAGTCCTGGGAATTGATCCTGGGCCCTCTGTGAAAGAGGTCAGTGCTCTTAACCGCTGAGCCATATCTCCAGCCCCTATAGTTCTTTTTTTTTTTTTTAACATTTTATTTATTATTTTTATTTTATGTGTATGCATGTATTGCCTGCATGTAGGTAAGTGCACCCGTGTTGTGCAATGCCTGCAGAGGACAGAAGAGGCTGTTGGATCCCTGGAACTGGAGTTATGGACAGTTGTTAGCTGCCATGTGGGTGCTGGGGTTCGAACCTGGGTCTTCTGCAAGAACAATCAGTGTTCTTAACCGATGAGCCATCTCTCCAGCCCCCCCCCCATTGTTCTTATTAGTTTTTATGCTGTTGATTTTCTGTTTTGGTATTTTTGAGACAGGGTCTCCCTGTAGTCTGAAATTCACTATGTAGAACAGGCTGGCCTTGATCTCACAGAGATCCACCTGCCTCTGCCTCCTGAGTTCTGAGATTAAGGGCATGTGCCACCACACTCGGCAATTTTCTTGATCTGTATAGAGAGCTTTGGTTGCTTTATTTAAATTTTAAAATGGGAGCCTGAAAGGCTTTTTGTATATAGCCTAGTATCTTAGGACTTTACAGAAAATCAGAACCAATAGGAGATCATTTAATGGATGGATGAATGGATGGATAGGTAAAGACATAGAAGATTGATTACCAGATAGATGATAGATAGATAGATAGATAGATAGATAGATAGATAGATAGATAGATGGCAGGAGACTTATTAGGGGATTTGGCTCACATACAAATACCCAGAGACTGAATGGTCCCACAATAGGCCATCTGTAAGCTGGAGAACCAGAAAGCCAATGGTGTTGCTTACTCCAAGAGTGAAGGCCTGGGGAAGCTCATGGCAAACTTCTCAGTGAGTGCAAAGGCCAGGGGGCCGCTGGTGCAAGTCTCAGAGTCCAAAAGTTGGATAGCCTGGACATCTTGACATCTAAGCCAGGAGCAGAAGAAGGGCATAGTGGCTCTAACGAGAGAAAATTCACCTCCCTCCACCTCTCTGCATCATCTAGGCCCCCAGGAATTTGGATGGTGTGTGTCATGTTGGCAGATTTTCTCCCAGTTGGCCCCCATTGAAATCTCTGATCTCCAGAGAGACCCTTGCAGACACAGATAGCCTTATTCAGTTATCTCTGCACATCTTAGTCCATTCAAATTGCTGTCTAAAAGTAATTAGACACCACCACAGCTGGCCTGTTTTCTTCTGCTGCTGTACATGTGGGTTTGGTTTCTGACTAGGTCTCTTCTATTAATAGAAAAACCCTGACCAAGTGCTCACAGGGAGCGATGACCCTCTGCAGGACTTTTCTTCAGGGTAGGCAGGCACAAGCTCAGGAATTTGTGGTTGGGCCATAGACCTCCAAATCAGAAGAGAGTTTTGGGTTCCAGCATGGGATCCTGCAGAGTTCTCCTTCCCGGACTTTGTTTCATGTGTTTACAGATGAGTCACTGAGGAGGGTGGGGAGCTGACAGAACATGCTGGTGTGAAGGCAGCTTGAATATCAAGAGGGGGCAGTAACAGAAGGGAGAACATGGCCAGCAGCCAGGTGGCCTCTCTCACTCTTGCCCTCCGTAATGTCTGGCAACTCATGAGTGCCAAGCTCCATTCTGATGCGAAAAGGGACTTGTGTCCTCTGGGGCCCTTTCTGCCTGTAACCCCCACCTCCTCTCTTACTTATCCAAACTGGTTTTACCCTTTTTTTGTGTGTTCTTTCATTTTCATGTGTTGTGTATAGTGTGCATGTGTGTATGCATGTTTGCATGTGTGTGGTTACGTGTGTATGTAGGCGTTCATAAGTACACGTGGAAGCTTGAGGTTATAAAAGAAAGTCCAGGGCCAGGCATGGTGGTACATATCTTTAATCTTAGCACTTGGGAGGCAGAGGCAGGTGGATCTCTGTGCGTTCGAGGCCAGCCTGATGTACATAATGAGTTCTAGGGGGCTACAGGGAGACCCTGTCTCAAGAAAGACCAGTTCTGAATGATATAAATTCAGAGATTCAGACAGGCTGAATCAAAATTAAAAAACATATATAAAAACCAGTTAAACAAGGGAGAGAAGGAGGGAGGGAGGGAGGGAGGGAAGGAAGGAAGGAAGGAAGGAAGGAAGGAAGGAAGGAAGGAAGGAAGGAAGGAAGAAAGGAAGGAAGGAAGGAAGGAGAGTCCAGGGCTGTCAAGATGGCTCAGTCGGTATTGCCACAAAATCTGACAACCTGAGTTCAATTCCTAGGACCAGGAGAGCCTATTCCTACAAGTTGTCTTCTGACCTTCACAAGCACACTGTGGCATGCATGCACCCTGACCCCCAATAAATAATAAGTATAATTTAAAATTTTTAAATTAAAGAAAATGAAATCCAATTATTTGAGCTGTTTAGGAACTGACTCTTCTCCCCTTCCTGCCAGCTAGTCACACCATTGGAGGAATTCGTTCCACATGGCTTCAACACAGAGCACTACCTTCCCACGTCCCATTTCTCAATGATGTCACCTATACCCTGTCCTCAAATGAAATCAGAAACCATCAAACCAAAAACCTGTAAGTAAGGAAGTGGGCTTTCATCTTCTACAGTTTGGGGCTATAATAGTCAAAGGGTAGGGTGGGGTAGTCAGACATACTTCAGGGGAGACCACGTTAGTAGACTGTGTTCTTTTTTTTAAATTTTATTTATTATTTTTATTTTACATGTATGCGTGTATTAACCACATGCAGGTAAGTGCACCTGTGTTGTGCAATGCCCGCGGAGGACAGAAGAGGCTGTCAGATCCCCTGGGACTGGAGTTATGGACAGTTGTTAGCTGCCATGTGGGTGCTGGGATACAAACCCAGGTCTTCTGCAAGAACAACCAGTGTTCTTAACCACTAAGCCATCTCTCCAGCTCCTAGACTGTGTTCTTATAGTTCTTCATTTTATTTTGTTTTTTTGAGACAGAGTGTGTCACTGGCCAGGAGCTCACCAAATGAGCTAGGCTGACTGGCCAGGGAACTGCAGGGATCCACCTCTCCAGCACTAGGATTCCCAGCCCCTGCCAGCACACCTGCCTTTTTTGAGGTGGTTTCTGGAGATTGAACTCAGGTCTTGTGTGAGCTATCTCCCCAACCCCATAATTCTTATTTTAAGAGAGAGGTATATTCCACTGATTTTTTTTTTTCCTGTGAGACTAACATGTAACAGAGATAATAATGATAACTACTCCAATTCCACATTAAATACAGAGAAAGGGGAAAGCTGAGTAAGCAAATGCAAAAGGTAGTAGAAAATGTCCTGTTGGCAGGCCTTGAGGTCCAGGCCCAGGTCGTCTCCCTAAGCCCCAGCTCATCAGGCCTTCTCTGAGCCCTTTGTCTTTTGTGTTCTGTGCCTTCTGCTTTGGGCCTTGGCCGGGCACTGTTGCCATTACTGTGGGTGTAAGGTGCTACCTGGTATTCTTCCACTCCCAGTTACTCTCTGGTTTGAGTTCCTGTCATATTTCTGTATTCACATCCTGTTTCAGACACACTGGCTTTCTTGTCATTACTGCCTTAGTGCTGTACAAGCTGGAGGACTTGGCCTGGGTAGGACCCAGCCTCCATCCTTGCCTAACTGCAGAGACTCAGAGGGACATACTAGGTCTCCCCAGTATTACTGTCCTATTCAGGTGTAACAGGTGGGGTCATGCTATTGAGTGGGTGGTACCTTTTTGTTTCATTTTGCGTTTTTTTGTTTTTTGGTTTTTTTTGAGACAGGGTCTCATGTATCCCAGGCTGGCCTTGAACTCACTATATAGCCAAGGCTGGCCTTGGACTTCTTTCTGATCCTCTTGCCTCTACCTTCTGATGGCTGTGACTACAGGCAGGCACCACCACACCTAGTTTATTTGGTGCTGGAGATGGAAGCCAGGGCCTCATGCATGCTAGGCAAGCACTCTACCAACTGAGATAATTCCCAGCCAGATGGCACCTCTTATTTTTTGGTCAGGAGTAAATGTCTCTCTTAGGAGGACTTTCTGTTTGGTTGGTTGGTTTGGGTTTGAGGGCTTTTTGAGACAGGATCTCTTCCTACACCTCTTATTTTTTGGTCAGGAGTAAATGTCTCTCTTAGGAGAACGTGGATCATTTGGGATTTTCAGTGGAAATATTTTTGTTTCAGGTTCCCCCAGAGATTATTTGGAAACGTTCATCTTTCCAGTTCTGCTACCAGGAATGGCCAACCTGCTTCACCAGGCAAAGAGAGAAAAGTGCTTTGAGGTTAGTGGTTTGGTGAGGTGTCTGTGTTTTAACTCTTGCTTATTCATTTTAGTCATATGGTAGCTGGTGACCTCAGTACCCTTGAGTTGTTATTTTCAAAGTAACCCCTTTCTGAGAAAAGCCTGGGTTTGGGACCATTTACCCCAGCCCAGCCACAATATCTAGTTGTACACCCACTTACATGCATTATTGGCCACCCAGGCCCCAGAGAAGTTTTGTGCCCACCTGGCATCCCTGCCTACCCTTCTTGGGCAATTTGGCATTGAGAAGGCTTCTTGGATCTTCTCTTCTTGTTCGCTGTGCATGTTGATTAATGCCCTTTGTCCTAGTTTCATTTCTGTTGCTGTGACAAATAGCCTGACAAAAGCAACATAAGGCAGAGGAGGGTTTATTCGGCTCACAATTTCAAGTTACAGCAGTCGTGGCAGATAAGTCCCAGTGGCAGGAGCTGGTCACATCGTATCCACAGCAGAGGGAGATAAATGCATGTGGCTTTCTTCTCTCTTAAAATGTTCAGGACTCCCAGCTTAGGACTTGGTGCCATCCAGAATGGGCTGAGTCTTCCTACGTCAGTTAAAAATCCCCACTCCCCCAGACATACCCACAAGCCAACCTGGTCTAGATTTCCTCATATGACTCTCTTCCCAGGTGATTCTAGGTTGTCAAGTTGACAGAACTAACAGTCCACCATGCTTGCCTCCTGCTTGTCTCTGGCTTGGTTTTCCCCTTTCTGACTTCTCTTCCTTCACTACTTTGTGCTGACTTTCTGTTTGGTTGGTTGGTTTGGGTTTGAGGGCTTTTTGAGACAGGATCTCATGTATCCCAGGCTGATCCCAGACTCCTTTTGTAGCCAAGGATGATCTTGAACTTCTGATCCTCCTGCCTCTGCCTCCCCAGCCAGGATCACAAGCCTGGCAACTATGCCTGGCTTCTGTGCCAGCTGTTATGTGTGTGTCTCTTTCTTTGGGAGAGGCATGGTATGCAAGAAGTGTTTGGTAAATATGGTCTGCGCTGCAGTCACATCCATGAGCTGATCCCATCACACCCCACATAAATCTCTTCAGTCCTCCCTCTTTTCTACAACTCACAGCCCACATAGTTTCAAATTCTAGATTCATGGATGACACCCCAACCCCCTGTGTAAACTTGCCCTGGAATGACACAAAATCTACTCACCCCAGATAGGGCATTAATGACAGACCAGAGTAATGATTCTTCCAAAGCCCAGCTTGGCCAATCAGTAAGTTTATTGGGCTGACTTAATAGAGCATGGCTGAGGGGTGGGTGAACCCAAAGCTGCCACATCACTGAAAAGTGTCACTCCAGCATGGACGATGAATTCCCCATAGCTGCATAGATGAGTCTTCCCTTCAGTTAACCTTTCATGCACCACAACACACTATATATTTTAACCCCTGCTCCCCTTCTCCCACACCATGTGCAGCTTGGGAGGCAGGGAGGGAGGGAAGGAGGGAGGGAGGGAGGGAGAGGAGAAAGAGAGACAAACAGACTAGTTCTAGCTGAACCATCAGACACTCAAATAAGAAGTGGATGAAAACCAGTTTCTCCTGTGTTTTTCATTTAGGAT